AGAGTTTTAAAGAGAAGTAGCAACCACTCTCTGAAGTTTGAGGGTGGCGGTTACAATAGTCAAGCTAACTTTTGTTTGTACTGTGCAGGAGGCAATGGTAAATCACTGTTGAACTTTTCTTATCTTGAATACTCTATGGTGGGACCGTCCAAAATGAAACAAGAGATAGTGCTGGAAGATGAAAGTCCTAAGTGGGAAAGTAATCAATCAGTGCTTTTGGTCCTGGATAATAGCAAAGGACAATATGAATAATAGCAAAGCACAACTATTGCTAGTGATGTAACTTGATTAAAATGGAAAGGGCATCTAGTGGTTGATGTGCACAAAAATGAAAGAAAAATCTGATGCTGTACAACACATACAGCTGGAACATGGAACATGAGATATATGAATCAAAGTAAACATGAAACCGTAAAGCAAGAAATGGAATTTACAAACATTGTAGTGCTTGATGTCAGTGAACGAAAGTGGACTGGAATGGGATATTTTCAGTTAGACAGGTACAAAGTTTTCTAATATGGAAATGAAAAACTCAGAAGAAATAGAATGACTTTTAACACTGAAGCAAGATGTAACATGGGCAGTCAGGGGCTATAATACAAGGTCTCGCTGAACAGTATCAAAAATCTTGCTGAATAGTATCAATAAGACTCCATGGAAAACCTATCAACATAACCATCATTCAAGTCTATGTTTCAACCACAGATGCTGAAAAAGATTAAAATTAAAACTTTTGAACAAACATCCAAGAAGAAATTGGCCATACACCAAAACAGATTTGATTATAATCCTAGATGTCTGGAACTCAAAAGTAGGGAACAAAGGAGAACAAAATTTTGCTGGAAAATTTGGCCTTGGGGAGAGAAATGAGGAAAACAACTCATAGAGCACTGCAGAGCCAACAATCTGTTTATTGCAAATGCATGCTTCAAGCAACCAAGCAGATGACTGTACACACGGACGTCACCAGATTATCAATATAAAAATCAAATAGACTACATAATTGGAAGCAGGAGATGGAGCAGCTGTATTCTCTCTGCCAGAACAAGACCAGGAGCAGATTGTGATACTGATTGTTAATATACAACATTAGAGTAAAACTGAAAAAGAACACTACAAGAATTGTAATGCCAAAATATAATTTAAACAACATTCCTGGTTATTTAAAAGTCCAAATAAGGAACAGATTTGCATTACTAAACACAACTGACTATGAAACAGAAGAGCCATGGACTGAAATAAAAGATATTATTAGGGAAGAATATAAAACAATAATACCTTTAATAAAATGAAAAGAAAAACCTAGATGGATGATGGGAGAAGCACATAAATTGTAAAGGACAGGTGAGAAGTAAAAGTAAAAGGTGACAGAAGTAGGCTCAAAATCTGAATGCAGTTTTTTAATGACTGTCACATAGAAACAAAGAGAACTATTATAACAATGCAAAGAAATAGAGAAGAACAACAGAATGGGAGAAACAAGAGATCTCTTCCAGAAGATCCAAGAAATCAAAGGGAGATTTAAGCCTAGAACAACCAAGTTAAAATCATTCACATTACAGTACTGTCTTTCAGATCACCATGTAATTTTTTTCCTGTCAGCTTTCCTTACTGTCCAGTTTACTGAGTGAAACCTGGAGAGTAAAGAAAAGTGAAAAGAACAAAACATTAATAAATTTGCAGTACGGTGCTGGAGGAGAGCTTTGCAGATACCTTGTACTGCCAGAAAGAGAAACAAGTGGGTCCTAGAACAAATCAAGCCTGGACTATCTTTGGAGGCAAAAAAAATGTTGAGGCTGAGACTGTCCTACTTTGGGCTCATTGTGAGAAGGCAAAATTCTCTGGAAAAAGTAATAAGGATGGATAAGGTTGAAAGCAGCAGGAAAAGAGGAAGACCAAATACAGGATGGATTAAATCCATAAAACAACCCACAAGCTAGAGTTTGCAAGAGTTGAGCAGGGCTGCTGAGGACAGGAGATTTTGGAGATTTTTCTTCATAGGGTTGCCATAAAGCAGTGGTGACTTGATAGCACATAAGAAAAACAACACATGGCAATACAAACTCAGTTACTTATGTTCTTAGGCATCGTCAGAGCAGACCACCAGGCAGAAAAAATTAGAAACAATGAAATTTGCATAATTCTTAGCTGAATTGTTCTTTAGTCTGACTTTTTTTCTTTTTTCTTTTTTTGTGGGTAGGAAGCAGAAAAAAAATGTTGCACTCTAGCCAACGCCAGTACTGGCTTGGAAAAGGCCTTGTGAACTGCTTGCTAGATAGCTCAGCGGTTTAGGCATGGAAGTTGGGAGTTCGATTTTCCACCGAGCCTCCTTGGCAGGGGCTGAATGTGATAATCCTTGGGATTCATTTCAACTCTGCAGTTCTAAGATTATTATTATGAAAGGCCTTGCCATAATCTCGTCGTGCACTTCAACACGGCAGTTAAAGAAGAGATATTACTTTGAATTTGTGGCCGCAAAACTCTCTTTCCCATACTGCTTTCTACTCAAATCTAGAGCTCCGTGTCATACAAAGCACCGAGCCACATTGATTTGCATTCAGTGGCGTGACAGTTTTTTTAAAAGGGTGAGTGTGTAACGAGAAGATGCTTCTGCCTCATCGTTTTGGGGGAAATCAAACTTTGTTTAATCCTGGATTTCTCTTTTATTTTCTACGGGCCACTAACAAAGTAAGCGTAGAAGAACCCCGAAAGGTAGAGGCGTGTACAACTCTATCGAATGAATCTATGTCCTTCGTCGCCGCCCGCGAAGCCGGAAGTGACGCAGAGCCCTTGTCAACTGACGGTCGCGAGCAAGAGGCGCTGCTAGAGAGAGAGAGAGTAAACAAGGCTTGGCTACCCGGCCTCGCCGTCTCCATCTTTAAAGGGCCGCCGGGCAAGTCGCCGTCTTTGGAGGACAGACATGGGGGCAGTTTTGGGCCTCTGCTCCATGGCGAGCTGGGTAAATGTGCCGAGTCTCTTCTCGGGAGGGGGGGTGTCTCGCGGGTTCGTGGGCAGAAAGGAGTGACGGGGTGGCGAAGGTAGAGATGGTCGCTTGTGCAGGAGCGTTTACTGAGTGAAACCTGGAGAGTAAAGAAAAGTGAAAAGAACAAAACATTAATAAATTTGCAGTACGGTGCTGGAGGAGAGCTTTGCAGATACCTTGTACTGCCAGAAAGAGAAACAAGTGGGTCCTAGAACAAATCAAGCCTGGACTATCTTTGGAGGCAAAAAAAATGTTGAGGCTGAGACTGTCCTACTTTGGGCTCATTGTGAGAAGGCAAAATTCTCTGGAAAAAGTAATAAGGATGGATAAGGTTGAAAGCAGCAGGAAAAGAGGAAGACCAAATACAGGATGGATTAAATCCATAAAACAACCCACAAGCTAGAGTTTGCAAGAGTTGAGCAGGGCTGCTGACTATGAAACAGAAGAGCCATGGACTGAAATAAAAGATATTATTAGGGAAGAATATAAAACAATAATACCTTTAATAAAATGAAAAGAAAAACCTAGATGGATGATGGGAGAAGCACATAAATTGTAAAGGACAGGTGAGAAGTAAAAGTAAAAGGTGACAGAAGTAGGCTCAAAATCTGAATGCAGTTTTTTAATGACTGTCACATAGAAACAAAGAGAACTATTATAACAATGCAAAGAAATAGAGAAGAACAACAGAATGGGAGAAACAAGAGATCTCTTCCAGAAGATCCAAGAAATCAAAGGGAGATTTAAGCCTAGAACAACCAAGTTAAAATCATTCACATTACAGTACTGTCTTTCAGATCACCATGTAATTTTTTTCCTGTCAGCTTTCCTTACTGTCCAGTTTACTGAGTGAAACCTGGAGAGTAAAGAAAAGTGAAAAGAACAAAACATTAATAAATTTGCAGTACGGTGCTGGAGGAGAGCTTTGCAGATACCTTGTACTGCCAGAAAGAGAAACAAGTGGGTCCTAGAACAAATCAAGCCTGGACTATCTTTGGAGGCAAAAAAAATGTTGAGGCTGAGACTGTCCTACTTTGGGCTCATTGTGAGAAGGCAAAATTCTCTGGAAAAAGTAATAAGGATGGATAAGGTTGAAAGCAGCAGGAAAAGAGGAAGACCAAATACAGGATGGATTAAATCCATAAAACAACCCACAAGCTAGAGTTTGCAAGAGTTGAGCAGGGCTGCTGAGGACAGGAGATTTTGGAGATTTTTCTTCATAGGGTTGCCATAAAGCAGTGGTGACTTGATAGCACATAAGAAAAACAACACATGGCAATACAAACTCAGTTACTTATGTTCTTAGGCATCGTCAGAGCAGACCACCAGGCAGAAAAAATTAGAAACAATGAAATTTGCATAATTCTTAGCTGAATTGTTCTTTAGTCTGACTTTTTTTCTTTTTTCTTTTTTTGTGGGTAGGAAGCAGAAAAAAAATGTTGCACTCTAGCCAACGCCAGTACTGGCTTGGAAAAGGCCTTGTGAACTGCTTGCTAGATAGCTCAGCGGTTTAGGCATGGAAGTTGGGAGTTCGATTTTCCACCGAGCCTCCTTGGCAGGGGCTGAATGTGATAATCCTTGGGATTCATTTCAACTCTGCAGTTCTAAGATTATTATTATGAAAGGCCTTGCCATAATCTCGTCGTGCACTTCAACACGGCAGTTAAAGAAGAGATATTACTTTGAATTTGTGCCCGCAAAACTCTCTTTCCCATACTGCTTTCTACTCAAATCTAGAGCTCCGTGTCATACAAAGCACCGAGCCACATTGATTTGCATTCAGTGGCGTGACAGTTTTTTTAAAAGGGTGAGTGTGTAACGAGAAGATGCTTCTGCCTCATCGTTTTGGGGGAAATCAAACTTTGTTTAATCCTGGATTTCTCTTTTATTTTCTACGGGCCACTAACAAAGTAAGCGTAGAAGAACCCCGAAAGGTAGAGGCGTGTACAACTCTATCGAATGAATCTATGTGTCAAACGGGGCGGCCGCCGTGACGCTACTCCTTCGTCGCCGCCCGCGAAGCCGGAAGTGACGCAGAGCCCTTGTCAACTGACGGTCGCGAGCAAGAGGCGCTGCTAGAGAGAGAGAGAGTAAACAAGGCTTGGCTACCCGGCCTCGCCGTCTCCATCTTTAAAGGGCCGCCGGGCAAGTCGCCGTCTTTGGAGGACAGACATGGGGGCAGTTTTGGGCCTCTGCTCCATGGCGAGCTGGGTAAATGTGCCGAGTCTCTTCTCGGGAGGGGGGGTGTCTCGCGGGTTCGTGGGCAGAAAGGAGTGACGGGGTGGCGAAGGTAGAGATGGTCGCTTGTGCAGGAGCGAGAGCATCTTTGTTGGCGCAGGCGCCCTGAGGGGGGGGGCTGTCTGGCAAAACCCCTCACCGGAGCCCGTCCCGCCCTTTTCTCTCTTTTTTTCGTGCGGCAAAGCCGGCTCNCCCCCCCCGGCCACCTTTTCTGCCTTGCCTTTGTTCGAACGGTCCCCCGTTTGCTTTTGCTTTTTCTCCAGGCGTCGCCTCCGGTTCTAGTCGGGGGTTTCCTCCTTCGTGTGAATGCCATCCATATTCTTCTCCCCCCCTTTTCCATCCTAAGCGGGGCTCCTTTCATTGCAAAGGACATGAGGCACTTAACAAGCCATCGTTATTAAAATTGTGTTAAGCGAGGGCGTGTGACAGAAATGGCCCCATTTTACCACCGACTTTGCATCTGTCGGATCTTCTTTTGTTTGTACAGCGAAGAGATACACACTAGGTCTTTGTGTAGTTGCTTATCTAGATAGTTTTAGACCGTAGTACAGTATATTTTATTTTACCTTCCTAGTTATGCGTACAGCTTTCTATAAAGTCTAGTTCCATTTTATTGTTGCAGCATTGTAACTAAAGCGCCTCTGATGTTCTAACTTAAACATTGTAGCATTAGAGTGCATAACCTCTGAGATTTTAACATTTGCTTCTCCTTAGGAGGTACGATACCTAACAACATTTTGTACTGTTGGTTGTTGTAGGTCTTTCGGGCTGTTTGGCCGTCTTCCGAAGGTTTTTCTTCCTAACGTTTTGCCAGTCTCTGTGGCCGGCGTCTTCAGAGGACAGGAGTTAGAACTCTCTCTGTGTTCGAGAATACATTTTGTACTGTCTTATCCTGCAGGAGAACCAGGAATACTATCCTCCCCCCTCAGTTTTTCTGAATAGTGAGCTATTTTAGTAATGCAGCAATTGTCTGGCTTCAGTTTTGTTTCTAGAAAGTGGTTGCAGGAAGGAAGACCTCTCATAACATGGGAATGTTTAAATAGGTTGAGCTTAAGTGGAGCTCAGTTGGAAAATTGGGGTGGGAGTGCTCTGCAGCCCATGGGACTGCTCCATTCACCAGGGGTTGTATCCTCCACTGGCAGAATGCCCAGAACTGGCTTTCAAAACAGGGTGAAATGCATGCACTTTTAAAAAAGCAGACTCTTCTTACGTAAGGTTTTTTGAAACACATTTCTTTTTAAAAGCAATGCCCCCCCCCAACATGCTTTGTTTTTTATATCTAGGTGATTTGTTTTTGTGCTATCACTTCATGGTGCAGTAGCAAATTTGGTGGCAGTGGAGACTGAGAGTCACAAAAATGGGAGAGAATATATTGTCCACCTCTTTATTAAGCAGTCAGAGAAGTCATCCAAAGCTCTCTTTTTCACATGACACTTGCAGGAGAGGTTTTCAGGATGTTCTTGGGTTTTTGCCTCAAATCTCAGACTTTAGAGCCTTTTCTCACTTTTACTCAGAACCACCAGTCAATCAGTTTTTCATGTGAAGATACAGCTTGATTACTTCATCAAGACAGTGGGAAGGTAGAGCAAAGATCCACCTCCTTCACAGAATGGCTCTCCCATTTTAGAACAGAAACTGGCAATTTTTCAAGTGATTGTGGTAATAGTAATCAATTAATCTTTTAAACAGAAGAATATTTCTCAGTAGCGGGGGGGGGAACCCTCCCCAACACAGGGCATAGCCTTCCCAACATAGGTTTGGCCAAAATGTATTTTGCTTTTCAAGCAGTCCTTATGCAGTCACAACTTAAAAGGTGCTCCAGGAAGTTTTCTTCCCATATCATTAATTGGTGTGTAAAGAATCACTGTGTTCTGAGCATCTTGTTTTCTGTTGTAATGTCATGCTGTAGAGTAGTAAATATGAAGTGGGAACATGAAAAGGGAGGACTGGGACATTCAATACAATATTGCTTAGGTTTTGGCTGACTTCAACTTTAGATGTTCTTGTGGAAATCTGAGAAGCTACTCAGGTCAGGTTGAGAGCTTGCCTTGGAGCTTAAAATCCTCTCAAGTGTGATTGCCAGATGTAGCTGTATACACTGTATTTTTGTTTGTATTGCACAATGAAAGAAAAGTTTAATATGTGTTTATATGTTGTGTTCAGGATTACTGTAAGTGAAGTTGGGCTTACCTTTGACTAATGATATTTTAAATTTTTAACTGTACTGTTGTACATCATCCTCAACACTATATTCAGTAGGACAGAAGGTTAACAGCATTTTAGAAATAGCCTAATAATTCACATTCTTTACTACACATGCGGATATAACAACTATTCGAGCAGCAGTCTTGCAACAGAGATCTCTGGTTTTAAGATTTGTTGTGTGCTTCTGGGTTGGTGTTTATAGTGCTGATTCAAGAGGCCAATTGTCTCATGTTCAGTTGTGTGTAGATTTTAGCTCAGGAACTCAGTCACTTGAACTAATGACTGGATAAGATGAAACAGTACAGGAATAGTGTTTCCAGGTCAATACTATCCTGTTTAGCTTCAGAACTAAAGCCTGAGACAGTGAGTGGGCTGTTGTGATACCACAGAGGAAGAGAAAGCAATTTCTGGGAGGGAGGCCAAATCTATTTCTGCATCTGCTGATTTTGTAATTTGGGGCCCATAATGGTCAGAAACCTGGCTAGCCATGCAATATGGCAGTCCAAAACAGAGAAAATAGATTGCTTTTGCTGAGGTGGTTCAGGCATCAAAATGTGCCTTGATGCCATTTCGGGAGTGGTGTGAATCTTGGATACTTAACACCACACACACAAAAATCAAGCTTTCTATTTCTCCAGTGCTGCTTACTTTAAGCTTTATCTCCCTGTTGGGAGCCCTAGGGAAACATACCAATTCCTTGAGATTTCAGTTAGCAACGTAAGACTAGGTGATCCTATATAGAATAATTCCAAAATATATTTCTGGGATGAAGATGTGATTCTCAAATATTGTGACATCAGAATCATTGATTAACAAAGTAAGTGAATTAACAGATTGTTTTTTCTTGAGCTTTTCTTTATATCCCATCTTCTGCCTCATTTATCAGATACCATGCTTGTGTGGAAGTGCCCCATGTCTACTGTGTCGATGCTGCCCTAGTGGAAATAACTCCACTATAACAAGGGTGGTATATGCACTCTTTTTACTTCTTGGAGTCAGTGTGGCATGTGTGATGCTTATACCAGGAATGGAAGAACAGCTGAAGAAGGTCAGTTTACTCTTCAGACAACTATGGTAGATATTATGTGACGTAAGTAGTGCCATTTGGAATTTACTTGGACTATTTATTCTTTTCCGGAGAATCACCTGCTTCAAAACGTCATCTTACACCTTTCATATATAACTAACTTTATCCTGCATTTAGGAAAATTCTAGAATTTTGTATGTATTTTGAGACTTAATAAATCTGTTACTTCATTATGACTGTCTTTTAATATAGTCTTTTAATGATTAGCATAATCCAATGATTCCCAAACTCTTTCTATGCCTTCAGTTTCCTGCTGCAGTGCTTCTAGGGAGGAAGTTTCCATAGTGCTTCCTGGAGGTGATAGTCTTGTTGCCCTTTATGTTCTATAGAGCAGGGATCTCCAATCCCCAGCCGTGGCCTTGGCAGGACTGGGCCGCGGAGACAAATCTCACGCCCCCCCGCCTCCGCATGTACGGATGCATACACACATATATATCGTCAACAACAGTGATGATATATATATTTCCAATATATATTTGGAAATTAAACATTTCCTAATTTTGTAGTTAGCCTCCCACAGCTCACATGTAATCCCTTTCATTGTCAGGAAGTCATGGTATGGGAGGTGGAAGTCTTTAAGTTCCAAAAATTACTGCTGCCAGGATAACTTTTGGTAATTAAAAACTTCTTCCTCACAGCTCCCATGGCTTCCTAATGATGAAAGGAATTGCATGGGAACCTCAGGGCAGAAGTAGGAAATGTTTAAATTAAAATTAAAAAATCACAGCTGCTGCTGACCTTATCAGCCTTATACAGCAGTTGCTTGCACAGTATTTCAGCCATTATTTTAAAACTTGCAGAATAAGAGGACCCAGATTTGTACAGATTTCAAGTTGCAAACAAATGTTGAAATAATCGTGTCATATCTATGACAAGGTAATAGTCTGTATTCTTCATTGATAAGCATTAATACATCATGCTGTTTGTTACAGATTCCAGGGTTTTGTGATAGCCATGTGGATTGTGATATTCTAGTAGGATACAAAGCAGTGTACCGGGTGTGCTTTGGAATGGCCATGTTCTTCCTCTTGTTCTCATTATTGATGATCAAGGTGAAGAGCAGCAGTGATCCACGTGCAGCAGTACACAATGGGTAAGTAGAATATAACTAGTATGTTGCTGTGTAGTAGTACCTTTATGAGTCAATCTGATGAAAAGGAAGTACTTTACAACTACAAGTTTACAACATAATCAGAACTCATGTAAACTTGAACAGTTACGAACAATCCAGGTACGTAAATATCTTGCTAAATACTGCAAGGTGGAAGATCTTCACATGTCAGTTTAACATTCTGACCACTAAATATTGGGGCCAGATAAAATTATTTGAAACCTCTTTGGGAAGACAGCCAGGCATTTGGAACATAGTTACCATCAGAAATATCAGAGTCGGGTATCTCTTAAGGACCAGGGTTGACTAAAGAGCCTGCTAGCTTTTAAATTCCTGAACTGCCTTTTTCTAGTGTCTGTTTAATATTCAGAATACTAGAGCTGGGGATGGATTAAATTAAAGCAAGTGTTTTATTTCTGGTAGGAGGCTGCTGCCTGCACACAATGCTTCCTAATATAGGTCTGTGACAGCATGCCAGCTACATTGCTTCTGTTTTGACCAAATCACAGATTAGGGCATTTAGGAGAACACTAGAGGTTGCACCATGTAGGCCACAAATACCAAGGGCAGAGACTGTCTAAGAAAAGAAAATGTTAGTATGCCATTTTTGGAATAGTTCCAAGAATGCCTCTCAATATGTCTTTGCAAGTATGTATAGTGCTGAAGAGGACACTATTGACAGGGCCATGGAGAGGATACTATTGCAAAAAGTTGAATGGAGAAATACATGAATGAAATCATCCCATGGATTTCTAGTTGAAAGGGTTAAGGACCTCACAGTCAGATTGTTTTCCTTGGAACCTGATCTTGTTGCCGAAGTACATCTCCCATGGCCTTCTTATCAGTTCCATAAGAGATTACTTGAGAGGCATTCATTTCCCACTTAATCCTACTTGAATAGTTCAGTATAAATAGAGATCTTTACCCTGTTTTTGTAAGTGTAATTATCTCTATTTATTGGTGAGGCCTAATTTGTCTATGAAAGTGAGTGGTCTTCATGTCATTGAAAAAATGTTTAATGAAATAGCTCAAGTATGTTGCTGTAGGAAAGGAATTGAAAATACGACAGTACTTATTGTATTTCTATTGTGCAAAGTTGTGTTTATTCTACGTACAGAGCATCATCTGGTAGTCCTGTCATTGAAATTATGCCACCGAGCTGCAAAAGACAAGCTGCAATCCTTGGGCACCTGATTATTTTAAACAGAGGCTTAAGCAGTTCAGAATAGATGCTGATGTGTGAACATGCTAGAAATTTCCTACATTATGGCTAATCTGGAATAAAACAGAATTTTTTTTCCTGCTTCAAAACACTAGAACCCATAGAATTATGAGAATTTCAGGATTCATGAACACAAAAGAGAGTATTTCTTCTCACAAGACACAATTCATTACAGCATGATGTTGTGGTGGCCCTGCAAGGGTGCCCAAGTTTTGTCAAGTTTACAAACAAATCCTGAAGACATAGCTCTTAATCAGTCATGAAAAGTAAAACTTCAGTGCATAGCAGTGTTCTGTTAATTTTAATTTTTAGAGTGTAAATTTGTTTAAGTCCTTTGTTGCCTTGGGGCCCTCATGTTATCTTGAGAGGAAATTTAGAAATCATTAAAAAAAGTCTATACACTCACAGTCCATTTTTCTCTCTAAGAATGTGTATTTTGTTCTATCCATCCAACAACCCTGCTGGAATAGGTTCCTATTTTATTGGCTAAGGGTTACAGCACCTTGTAGACTTAATAAGGAGAGGATATCATGCTGTTTGGTCCATTAACCATTTGTGGCTGAGTGTAACACCCAAAATTACCATTCTGTGGCATTTACGGCTGAACTAAGGTATTTGAAATTCAGTGTCTCTTCATTTTTGGAGTTCAACATTAAAACCCAGAAACCAACATGGGAACATATATGAAAGGGTGTTTCTGTCTAGATCTGTTGGTATCTGTTGAATACATATTATGTTCTTGCTTTTTCTGTGCATGTGAAATGAATTATAGTATGTTAATACTGTTGCTGTAGTTAATGAAAATTGTATACAGTATTATTTTGAATTTTTGAAAATACACAATTTTAAAATATTGTCATTATCCTGACTTTGGAATTGTGATTATTCCTTTCCTCTTCAGATTCTGGTTCTTCAAATTTGTCATAGCAGTTGCAATTACAGTTGGAGCATTTTTCATACCAGAGGGACCCTTTACAACAGGTAAGATTGCAACAAACAGAAAGTATCTAATAGCTTTCTGCAATAGTGTTGAAATCTTACTGTCACTGTTTTTGTTTTGACTTGTCACATCGGAGGAAGTGACTACATCTTTGGTTGAATGCGTTCAATACTTGTTTCCAACTAACATATAACTTTATTTACCTATGCTTATCCTTTGTATCCATATCTTTGTGCTTCACCATTGTCAGTTTTAAGCTTATAACTCTTTTGAGAGCACACATTACCCCTTCCTAGGTCTTCAGATTAAAAGATATACCGTATTTTTCGCACCATAAGACGCACTTTTCCCCCACAAAACGGGGGTGGAAAGTCTTTGCGTCTTATGGAGCGAAGGAAACATTATATTTTCCTGTTTTCTTCTCCTAAAAAAATTGGTGCGTCTTATGGAAAGGTGCGTCTTATGGAGCGAAAAATACGGTACCGTAGTGATAGTTATGTCGGTCAATAATAAGAATTTGAATCTGAGAAGCCAATTTCTTTATGCAAAATTAATTTGTTGACTTTTCCCCCTTAGTATGGTTTTATGTAGGCATGGCTGGGGCTTTCTGCTTCATTCTTATCCAGCTGGTTTTACTTATTGATTTTGCCCATTCATGGAATGAATCCTGGGTTGAAAAAATGGAAGAAGGAAACTCGAGATGCTGGTATGCAGGTATGCTGTGGTGGTGATTTAGCTTTGAAAGGTTTGTTAAAACCAAGATATGTGAGAGCTCATTTCTGAGCTCTAAAAGTTAGGGGCCACAGTTTCTTTTCACTCTTTTATTTTGTGGACATGGGGGCGGAGCATAGTAGGATTGTCATGGCTGCTGCTCACATGCAGCCTTCCCCCTTGGCATCCCAGGTTAGGGTTGGTTCAGCCCTCAGATAGAAAATTTGGGTTTTGCATTCCCCACCCTTATCCTAACAGTATGAAAACATCATTCACTTAATGGGGATCTTGGTTCTTTGTATGTTTATTTGGTAATGTAATAAGTGCATGCTATCTTTTGTGAACCGTCACTTCACCAAATCTTCTATAGACAATACTAATCTAGCTATCCTATTAGGTTTATTCATTGGCAACTGGTGTTGTTTAGGATTTTTTATAAAGTTAGATACTAGTAAAACCTGTTTCAAGTGTAATAATAAAACCCTGAATCACCTTGTGTTTGCTTCCTCTCAGCTCTGCTGTCTGCCACTGCTCTGAACTACCTTCTCTCTTTGGTGGCAGTTGTCCTGTTTTATATTTATTACACTCACCCAGAAGGCTGCTCTAATAATAAGGCATTCATCAGTGTCAATATGCTGCTATGTATTGGAGCATCTGTAATGTCCATTTTGCCTAAAATTCAGGTAATGAGATGATATTTTGTGAATAATTTGCCTGAGAGTCAAGTCTCTGCTTCTGTTGAATTGTTGCTTTATTGTTTTTCTTCATCTCTGTATGTAGGAATCACAACCAAGATCTGGATTGTTGCAGTCATCTGTGATTACAGTTTATACAATGTATCTAACTTGGGCAGCAATGACGAATGAGCCGGGTAAGAAGATTAAATGATCTTGTAAAAGTTTTCTTTATGGAATATTATGATCCAAAAACAGCTATAGAAAAAGCCTTTCATCTTATTGTTCTTACCTTGCTTTGTTGGAGAAAATCAAACTAACCAGATTTCTCTGTAGAAGAGAGTTAGCTGGGAAATTCTCTGAAAGTAGCTTTCAACTTACCCTTTATTCTGCTTTGTGTTACACCCAACGCAGAACAAAATTCTGTTACATAACATTGCACCTGGTGCAAAGTGGATTGAGCACCAAAAGCATTTAACTTATGCTAACTAAAAGCTTCATATCCTCCCATTTTAGGTTCTGAGGCTCTCTCAGACTCCTTTTTGCCCCAGAGAAGCCTTTGGGAGTCAAAAACCACTACCAGATTGGTGGTTGTGGTTCCACACAGGCAGTGATGATCCTGCAGTAGTTTTTGACTCTAGCCTCACTGTTGGAATTTGCTCTCACGAGCGTCTCTTGATCTGGCAGTGAGCACCAACCTTTTAGTCCCTATTCTGTGACCTGATGTCATTTCAAGTGTCATGCCATTACACACTTAGTCTTCTATGTACTCTTTCTTCATTTTGGAGTGTGTGCACTCATCCTCTCTAATACTTTAGTGATGCTCTTTCATAATTGTATAGTAGTGAGGATATGTTCATTCTTCCATTAAACTGATTTGAGGATATTACTTGATTATGTGATTAATATTGCTGCAGTACTAAGAAAAAAGCCCTGTGCCTTGCAACAAAGGACATTTGTATGGAAAGGCACTAGACGTGTCTAATTGAAATACTGTAGCTCTGTAAAAAGTAAGGGGAGAAAGGCAACTGATAAGTGTGTAGAAGATGACCACTTCTATGAACATTTAATGTTACACGGGCATTATTTATGCTGAATCTTGTTACTTGTATTGTAAGGAATGATTTTGTTTCTAAATACAAATTGATCTTCAGAGAGAAATACTTGTTCCTTTATTAGTTCAGAACATTCTGACTTTCAGTTTCTTGTGTTTTTAACCACTCTAGACAGACAATGCAATCCAAGCTTGCTGAACATAATTGGATATAATTCCACAAGCATACCAAGCAAAGGGCAGTTTGTCCATTGGTGGGATGCCCAAGGGATAGTGGGACTCATCCTCTTCTTACTGTGTGTTCTCTACTCAAGGTGAGAAAAATTTTGGAATTCATTTTACAGTTTTACTTGTCCAAATTGTACAGATAATGACATTGCTCATTTTTTGACGGCAGCATTCGGACATCCAATAACAGTCAGGTGAACAAATTGACGCTCACCAGTGATGAATCAACCCTGATAGAAGATGGCCTTCCTAGAAGTGAAGGCTCGCTTGATGATGGTGATGAATTCCATCGTGCTGTTGATAACGAGAGAGATGGAGTCACTTATAGTTACTCATTCTTCCACTTCATGCTCTTTCTTGCCTCACTTTACATCATGATGACCTTAACCAATTGGTACAGGTATGTAGAATTTACAGAACATTATGGAACAATTTTACTTTATCTTTCGACTACATTAGCAGATTATCACTATATTGGTTCTGATGGTGCTGATCACCTGTAGGGGTGGGAGAGAGAAAGAGAAGACTCTTCTGAGGATAAGGTTATCCTACTGATTCACATGGGATGAGGGGTGGAACATGATAATCAGGCAAAGGCAGCTTCCACAAGCAAGCTTTAAATTGTGATCTCTAGGTAAAATATAGTTACTTGTTCTCACAAATGATAAACTATTCTTGTCTTCTTCTCCCCTCTTTCTTAGTCCCAATCCCACTTCTGAATATATGACCAGTACGTGGCCATCTGTGTGGGTTAAGATATCTTCCAGCTGGATTGGTATTGTCCTCTACGTATGGACTCTCGTGGCTCCACTTGTTCTTACAAACCGTGAATTTGACTAATCTGTGCATCTCATCTGAAAGCTTTTATTTTGTTCTGTTGCTTATTTAGAGCTAACAGTATTCCCTACTAAGATGTAATTGTAAATATATGTGTGTTCTATCTGTATACTTTATTCTGTCCTTGTTCTGCATGGTTACTTTAAGATCATGTTATCTTGCCATTTCAATGACTGTTTTCTAGTTGAGGATAAAGATAAGGATAAAGATAATGATAAGGATTGCTAGATTCAGGACCAAGCCAAACATGATAGCAACAGTTTTATGGGTTGTATTTGACATAATGCTAGTGGAAAAGGTTTGAGAGATGAGTTTGGTCCACTAGTGTTTTCGTGTTCTGCCAATGGTTGTGCAAATGCTAATGGGTCAGTGTAATGAAGTCATGAAAGCACTTGTTTGATGGCATGTGCAAGTGCTTACAGAGTCAAAAAACTGGATTTGGCACTTGTGCAAGGAAGAAAATGAAGCTTCTACAAGCAGTAAAAGGTTTTTGCTTGATGATCAGTGCCATTAGATGTCACCCAGTGTGTTTTAAGCACACATTCGTTTTCAGGGAGAGAATCTGATTCTTAAAAGCAGAAGGGGATACACAGGTGATAAGTTCAGAACTTTCTTGCCTACTGTTCATCTCTATTCAGCACACTTTTTCTCTCTTCCAATATTTTTCTTCTGTCTGGAGCTTTGCTACTGGAAATAGGGCACAGTAGGGAAATGGATTAACATATGTTAAAACACAGGATAGAGAATTTGATTTTTGTCAGTGTTGTGTCTTTATATATATATATATTTAAGATAATGTTCTTCACTGTTGCTTTGTACATGATGAACACATTTCTGTATTGTTAAAACACAGACAGCTGGCAGTCTTATCTGCAGTGGCTTTTTTTGCTAGATACTAGAACTAAAATAGGGCTCCCCTCTTTAAATAGATAACAGAAAAGGCAGCCTCAATTTTTGTGATCTTTCAAAGAGAGAACTGAAAATCCGAAGAAGGCAACTGCTATTTCAAAGATCACATTATCACTATTAATTTTCTTGTTTAATATAGCTGAAGCAGATAATATATCAGCACCAATCTATTGGACATTTCTCTCCACTTTTTTTTCCAAGGAAACTTTACTGGGAACAGTGGAAGGTGATTTTCTTTTTATCTCAACCCTCTCCCAAGGGAACCCTGATCTTTCTGAGAAATTTACTTGTCATGAAAGAATACCATACATTAGTAAATAAATAAACCCCACATATGAACAGTTTACCCCCTATTACGTACTGCTAGATCACATTTGAATTTGTAATAAGTGAAAAAAAGATAGATTAAAAGTTTTATTAATATATGTAAACAGGCCAAAATCTGAGAGTCAAATATTTGCAGTTGTAATCAGATGGAAGGGAGGGCTGCAAGGAGTGTTAGAAGTTAGCTAGGGATATCTTTGACAGTCTTCTTGTCTTGATCGCAGAGGACAACTTTTAATAGTTGTTACAGTGTTACCTGTATATTGGTACAAGATTAAGGTCAGTTTAGCAAGACAAAAGAAAGCTGAGGGAATTGGGACTAAACAGAGCCCAAGAAAGACAGTTAGTAGCTCTTAGCATTAAAGACGATCTGGCGATGATTGAGAATCAAGTACCAGGAGTGTGTTATGGTTTGGCTAACTTTATAGTTGAATTATAAGAGCTGTGAATTTCAGTTTGCTGAATGGCTACTCGTAAAGTGGCCAGGAACATTGGAGTGTTAGATGTAATAATGAGTCTTAGCTAGTGAAACAACAGAGCAAGAACTGGGACAAGTAAGCAGATAAAATCTAGAACTGATGCTATATGAAAATTTGGTGTGTATATGTTTTTAAGCCAGTAAGGCAACATTTCTGTTGAGAGCCTTGTGCAGGTGTCACGTAAGATTGGTAGGAACTAGTGTTTTGTAGAATAAGAAAACAAAAACAGCCTCTTGTATCCTGTGGAAGGATCTGGTTTCTGAACTTGTAGACTTGTCTAAGTTACATAGGCAGTATTAAAAGAATGTGAACAGCAGTATACAGTATGTTTTAAAATTGGACTTGAAATTGTTAGAAACTCACATTAACTTGAGAAATGAATTATGACACCATTCAGACCATAATTGCTTTTTTAAAAAGTTGAGTGTAATTTTACTCTTAATAATACATGGTTTTAGATATGTTTCATTTTCATATCCATCAAGATTTTTTTAAAAAACCTAACACATGAAAGTGTATTGTGCTCGTACTAATTACAAGAAACTGGAACTGAGGCTTGGAGTGAGTTACTTACTGCTGTTAACCATAGTGTAGTGTGCTATATCCCATGCCAACAAAATAGGCCTCAAACACCAGTGTTTTTGGGTGGGGAATGGGATAAAGAGTAGTTACTATTTTATGCCCCATTCTAGATAATGCCCGTTCCTTGAGTGATGAATTTCTAGCTTAGGTTGCAAATCAGGAAAAGTTCTGCTCGTCCTCTCATTAATGATCTTTCAGGATAAGTTGCCTATTGATATTTTCTGCTAAAAAAATCCTTTCATTTTATAGCTGATGAAGTGAACTACCAAGATGTAACAGATATTTTTTTGTCCACAGTTTTAGAAAACATTACCTATTTTATGCTTTCAGCCTTATATAGTGCTGCTGCTAGTGCTTTGTATCTGTTGCTGGCAGAAGACTTACATGCAGAAAATCCTACTCTGGATACTATGATATCTGTTTGTAATTTTGTGTGTTCTGAATGTCTGTGTTTTGCAGCTTTAAATTGAAATATTTTGCACCAGCTGGAGGATTGTCCAGCTGGGAGACAACCAGCTATTTCTGCTTCAGCCTCTTTAAGCTGCTGTGCACTTTTGTTATTAATATTCATTTTATTTTAAAATCTGTTTGGAACAGGCATTGTATGTATTGAAAGACTAGCTGAATTCAGCATGAATGCAGTTTGAAGGTAATTTAAATGTTTAGTCACCTGAAATGTGTATGCTGTTATCAATAAACATTCACATGAGAAAGATTTTTAATTCTGATGTCTCCTAATCTGTACCTATAGGATTAACATAGTATGTGTTCAAAGATGAGCAAGATTAGTAGATGAGGACTTCAACCTGATTCTTACTAGTACAATTTTTGAAACTTTGTGTAATCTGTTTAGCTGGCTGTATATACCGTAGCGTTACTACTGTTTTAACAGCATTAGAGAGATATTTATATTGTACCACAGATAAATACAGTCCAGTATTCTCACTAACCTGGACTTTAGTCCCAAGATTTAAAATTTGGCATATTTGCACTTACAGTAAAATGTCCATTTTATGTAGTGATAGGATGACATTCTAGGATGAGTTGCTGCTCCTTCCTTGTCCTAATAAGCAGGAAGATTAATCAATTGGCATGTGCACCAAGTACACCCTAGCAAGGGAAGGCAAGCCAGCTACCCAGTCTTCTTCTGTATTCAGACATGGGGAGGGCCTTCAGTGCATTACACAAAAACAGAGGCACAAATGGATAGCAAACAAACCACAAGCAGTCATTTGAACAAGAGAAGGGAGATGAACAACTTACACAGAAGACTGTATGGCCTCCTGAAGTCCCAGCAGGTATGGAGATGCTGGATGGGATGATGTTGTCTTATCTGTGTATAAATACAGTTCTTTCAGTAAGGAACAGTGCTCCACTTTCTTGTAGGAGATGAGGACATCCTAGAGTAGGACACATCCCATTTGGGTGTGAAGTCTCCTGATTGGGTCATTGCAAGCTTATAGAAATGCTCAAGAATAGGGCTAGATCTGCACTATTTGCTAAAGAACTCACTTCCCCAAAGAGGCCCTTGCTGAAGCAAGATTACTGAATTTTCAATGGAGAGATGGTGGTTCTGATACAGTAGCTGCCCTACCAAAGTCAAATAGTGAAGCTCTGGTCCCAAAAGCTGCTGAAGTGATTTCATTTCTAAGAGGGTCAGTAGTCATCTCAGGCAGCACAATTCAGAAGAGTGATAGCACAGGGTAATGCATACTGTACTTTGATCTACCATGCAATTGTATCAACTGAAAGGACACAAAGTCACATGCTTAGGGTGAATCAGTGGGGATTTGGTGAGTAAACTCCTGTAGGTTCTATTAATGAGCCTATTCTGGTTGCAACTTGCTACACTAAGCAACAGGATTTGAGTTTCATTGTGTTTGGGAGAAATATTAATGGCTTTATTAAGGTCCAAGTTAAACCAGCCCATTGCCAATGGTGTAAATGGCCATGGAAGAACCACTTCAAGTGTGCTATGAAATAATTCAGTTTTAAAATAAAACTGGTATGCAGGGCAGATATGACATTTTGCTGCACCGTACACAAAGGCCCAGAATGTTTAAAAACAAAACCTATATTGGTGATGAAGGCAATGAGAAAGATGCTTACTTTGTCCACTTGGACCTTGCTGATCAGGGTTGTAGGCAGGAAGGTGTACAGAAGACCTAGTGGTTCTGTCTGCTCTGCACTCTATTCCTAGTATCTGGAGAAGAACCTGCTTATTTTCCTGTTCACATGAAGGGCAAATGGATAACTGCTGGAAGCTCAAAGCATTGGACTGTATCTGGAACAAGACTCCATTCAGTCTAGTATATTCCATCCTTCTGAGCTAGTTGGCTTTAGAATTCAGGATTCCACTCATGTGTTTGACCTCTGGGTAATGATATCCTTCTGCCTGTTTTGGGTAGCTGACTTTGCCATGACTGACCAAGATCTCATCTCATGCTCTTTTGCTGACTTATGTGCACTTTAATATATTGGCTGTTCTGATAAACAGTGCCTCTCCCTGCAAGAAATCAACTGTGTGAAAGCAAGAAAGGCTAGTTATATTCCTGTTCAGCCTGAGCTGATTGATATTTTAGTAGCTTTAGATCAAGGATATCCAACCTGTGGGCTGCGTGCCACCCAGGATGGCTAGGAATGTGGCCCAGCACAAAATCGTGAACTTAAAAGATTATGAGATGCGCAGTTCTTGAGTGTGAACTTTGTAGATGACAATGTAGTATCACGGTGTCATGTAAAATAAAAAATATATAAGTTTTATTATAAAAGTAAAAGAGGGCAACATAAAACCAGTGGGATATTTGACATTGTATATATATATAAACAACCCAATGAAGTTTTAGTACTTAGATATGTTCATTTTCTATATTAGTGATCGCAAACTTGGGACCTGCTCGATGATTTTAAAAGACTCCAAATGGAGATTTTTATGTGAGGACTTTTTTGCTTATCTGTGGTGGTGGATGTCATGAAAATTATGCACATACCTTTATTTATTTATTTATTCATTCATTCATCAGCTTTTGTTAGTGTTGTGTATTGTGTGGCCCAAGACAATTCTTCCAACATGGCCCAGATAAGCCAAAAAGGTTGGACACCTCCGTTGGTAGATTACAATCTACCCCCAAGGTAGATTGTAACTACCTTTTCTGAGCAAACAGACCTGCAATGAGTGCACTAGCTGGCATCTGTGGTGACCTTTATGAACCTCTACAAAGAGTCTGGTATTCAGTAGTAGTGCACTGAAAGATTTTCTTTTGAAAAGGTAATAATTATCACAGGTGTATGGAAGCAATGGATTGAACAGTTAAGTAAAAAATATGACATCTCGAGGTAAAATGTGAAGGACCTGTTTGAATGTCTCCTTACTGTCTGGAAGAAAACCCACCCCGTGTGTGTCATATATATGGATGTCAATGTGCTGCATTGGGAATCTTACCTGATTAAGTCTGTTAAAATAAATATGCATTTGCTGCTTATACAAATGTGCCACAGAATATTGGTGAATATCAGAGGAGAGAAGCTTTGTACTGAGAGTACAGCTAGTCTCACCAGTCCACAAAATGAGGAAACTATGATGGATATATAGGGATATATAGATACGTCTCATTCATGCCCACAGATCCCATGCAGTCCCCTGCCCATTGTGGCTCTTAAGATGGTGCAAACAAGTCTCCATTCCAATTTCTTTTCCATTTTGAAATGAATCACTTGGGCCTTTTGAAGACTCACCGACCATTCATCTTGGACACAATGAAGAATATCTACTAGGAGCCACAAAACTTGCTAGGCTCAACGGTGCAGATAGCCAGCTATTGTTGAATAGCTTATAGGATTAAGGCATATTTCTCTGGATGTTAGGATCTCAGTAAAGGAATGGAGAACCATTTTGGAATCTGGACAAAATCCATTAAGTAACTTTGCACTATTGTGATGGCAAGCCATAAATAGGTAAAGTGTTACATTTGTTTCCTGCCTATAGAGGTAGCATGAGAACATTGCTGTTACTTATGCTGAGTTTTAAGAAGGGTGTTGGCAATTGAGCTTCCAGTTATGATTTAAAACTGCTGCTTGTGGGTCTATGGGTTCACTCCTCTAGGAGCATGGATTTCTATAGGCCTATAGGAAGAACAAACTGATGTATGGGGGGGAGAACTGGATCTAAATGACACTTTTGTCCCCTTATTTATATTATAACTCCCAAGACACTCTTTTCATCCTTATTCTCTAGGGATTTGCCATGTTGCTCAGGAGGTGTTTGGCCTTGAAATCCACATGTTAAGTTAAATCTGCCCGTGTCCTGGACTGAGGCTGCCTGCAGCCCTGCACAGAATTGAATAGCATTCTGCAACAGCTTTTAACTATCACTTGATATAGTTTACTGTTGCCATATCCTGTCATGCTATTATGAAGATAGCTAAGGAAGCTTTTAAAGCTGGTGAGAGTATCTTATTTGTACTCAGTGCAGACTGAGGTAGGTACCCATATAGAAATAGTAGCATTGAATGAAGATGCTGGTTGGCTGCATGACTGGATACAGTTCCATTCTAGACTGTCTGTAAAATGTCTGAGGAAAGGCGTATCATGACACCCTATGGACACTTTCTTAAACACATGCTCTAAAACATGTGGAAGATCAGGGGCAGCTGGCTTCCCAGTCACCCCAGGGCCAGTCTTGTTGACCATGCTGTTCTTCCGCAAGCCGGCAAAGATCTTTCTCTTCAGGCAAGCTTTCCTTGAGTGACTGGCTGCCTGAGTGGGGTTTTTTAATGAATAATTGTACCTTACTGCTTTGAATGTGTTATATGTTGCTTATGCTTGTAATATATTATTCATTTGTTCCTCTTTAGTATTTGTATAGTCACTGTCACAAGCTTTAAATACTATCGTTTAATGATATAAGCCACCTTGGATGTTTTTTAAAGAGAAAGGTAGGGTAAAAATATTTTAAATAATAATAACATCTGATGGATTCTTCATCTCTCCAATAAACAGAAGAACCTGGACCCAATGGCAGTTTCCTCAAATGGGTATTAGCATTATGGAAAAGATTCAGATAAAGACTGCCTTGTTCCTGCTTAGCCAGTGAGAAACCGTTTGTGTCTCTAGGAGATGCTTGCTGTATTCAACAAATTGAATTTTGTGGCTTTCCATGGCATAAAGCTATTGTATACACAAGCTGAGCATCCATCCATGCTTCTTTCTGTACTGTTGCTAGAGAGTGGCCATGGTAACAAACTGTAGCATGGCTGGTTTGATCACTCTTGCTGAAAGTTCAGTTCTATCAGATTTCCTCTCTGAACTAATAATTTATAAAAACCTGCTACCGTTTAGGAACCGGAGAGTGAGATTGTTTTCCTTTTCTTTTCAAGTCTGCTTCAGATATTCCCAAAGCCACATGTAAAACAGGGAAAGACACTACTGCTTCCTGCTACACATATCTTCACAATTAAGAACCCACTCAGATACATGCCTGCAAAACTTTACACAGAAACAATTCTGCCAGTCATGCTTGTGACAAACTGTAGTACAAGTGAAGCAGAAGACTACAAAACGAAGTGGGACACCAGCAGTCCAATCACTCACCACATTTAAGTTCTGGTCCCCTAACACAGTTTTATTTAAACAAAGTTGTAAAAATAGAAAATAAAGTACAGAAGAATAAAACTCTGGAGTGCTACAGCCATCCAGAATTACTTGCATCATTCATACAATAGGACCAAAAGTGAACAAGAAAAATTGCAAGTGGTTAATATAGACCATCTGATTACCTGCTATATCTTGAATATATATAATTCCAAATATGACAGTACTAGAAGTGTAAATGAACTAGTGTGAACGAAACTGCTGACGGTTTGTATAAATGTTCAAACCACTCACATGGACTTTGTGGGAAAAAAGTGATTCCACATTAGCTGATCTCACAAAATGCCATTTACAAAAGATAGATTGCAAACAATAGCCTAAATAAATAGTTTCAACTCTCTTCATGTTAGTTGTTCAACAAGGGCATATCAGTGTCCATTGGCACAGGAGCAAGTTCACACAAATAAAATAATGTAGCTTCACTAGCTTCTGCTTCTGTCAATGGTTCCAGACGAACAAGTTTGCTTTGGGTTGGCTGGGGATCCAGACTACTTTCCAGGAGTTCATCCACTTCTAATGGTTTATCTTCTGAGGACAAAGATTCTGGTGCTCCATTTGCACTTTCTACTACTGAGCCTGGATTTCCATCAAGAAGTGCAAGAAGGGGAAGCGCAGTGTACTGAATGAGCTGTTTATCTACAACAGAAGAAACAAAACAAATCAAAATATATACAGTGGTGCCTCGCTAGACAATTGCCTTGCGGGATGAAAAACCCACAAGACAATTGTTTTTTGCGATCACTATGGTGCCTCGCAAGACTTTTTTTCTGACCGTGCTTCACAAGACTTTTTTTTGAGACCGATGCTTCGCAAGACTTTTTTTTGGAGTTTGATGCATAGGGAACCTATGCAAGACAATTTTTTCACAAGACGACAATTTTCACGGAACGAATAATTTTCCGAGGCACCACTGTAATCCAATTCACTTGCACAACCCATTTGCCTATTCCTACAAAACAAGATTGAAAGACATGTTCATGAAGGCAGGCTGAATTATACAAGAGCTCCCCAATAGCTCAACATGTGACTCCCTGATTTTGTATTCTAATAGTAATCTGTTACTGTTTTTCACTCAATAAACGTAGAAGGAAATTTTCCTGAATCCATGTCCATAGAGTGTTATTTAATTTTCATTTTTCATAATTACTAAATTTATGACAATGTTTCTTCTCACCCCAATACAAAGCAATTGTCAGAGCTGTTCAACAACTACAAGTGATAGTAGTAGCCGCCTAGAGTGGTCTTAACCGACCACCAGATAGGCGGGATATAAATAAATAAATAAATAGTGAGCACAGCCAAATCCTCTCCAGTTATTCTCCGCAGGGGCCCTGGCACATTTGAAGGGGGTCACAGTCTAGAAACAGTTCTTCACAAGCCACCTGATAAGGTTCGTTATGCAACTTGTACAGTCCTGATTCAGCCTGTATATCTTCCATATTGTGTTTATGGCCATGGCCAAAGAAAGGTTAAGAATGGCTATTGTAAACCATCTTCACTGCTTCTGGAATTGATTCTAGACCATCTCTCTCCTCACATGTGATCAGTGCCAAACATTTAGATGTCAGTTTAATGAGGAAGGTATGTATGGCTTTCTACAGTGCACTGAATGGAAGAAACTGGAATGCCTGGCTGAAGCATGGAAAACTATAAAGCTGTATTAGAGATCAAACCATTCCTTCATTGAGTAGGGGGTTGGACTTGATGACCTTCTAGGCTTCTTCCAACTCAATTTTTCTATGAAATGCCTATTATAACACTAACCTACAGGGGAAACTGGGTTCAGTTGATGATGGTTCACTTTGTGAAAGTCAGCCAGGACCCAACTGGGTCATAAACGTGGGAGTCTGCTTACACAATTTTATTTTTCACATTGAGTACTCATGTACTGACCTGTTTTGGGGTTAGTATTAGGCACCTCTTCTGCAGCTTGCTGAGCACCATTATTCTTCATATTGTCAATTCCTTTTGTATCCACCTATAAAGAGATTGTTTAATTACACAAATGGGACTTTAATTTGGAAACTGAGAACATGAGCAAAGGAAAATGATCTGCATGTATGAACATTTATATTTATAAGAAACAAATGGCAGTGTATCCAGCAGAAGATAGTAACAAACTAATGCTCAGAAAAATATCCTAGTACTGGAATTCTAGATCATCCTAGAATACCCCACTACATCCAATGAACAATTATTAGCATTTAGTAACCAAAGGGATATGCTTAAAAGTGCCCAGAGTAATTTTAAATGATGCAAACTTTACATTTCAATTTGAACCAGTTCTTCACTTTTATGTCTCCCATCCCACTCCTTTTCAACAACACAAAAACTTCAATAACTCTAAATATACTTTTTTCATATCGGGATAATTCTAGTCACAAGCTGGAGAACACAAAAACTTTTAAATTCTTTTGACTCTCATTTTCAAAATGACTAATAAAATTCCAAGCATGGAAATGCAAACAATAAACTGTTAAGTAAATGTCCTACTTGTCTCTGTTAAGAGACAAACAAAAACAACAAATGGTATCATGCTGTATAAAACTGGCCACTAACTGTGACACTGTATTTCCCACTGCTATGCTAATTTAAAACTTACTTTTGTACTACTGATATGACCTGTAGGATTCATCTGCACGGAACTTGAAAAAAGCTACATCAAAGACAAAATATACACCAAATTTTAAAACTTTTATGTTCTGTAAAATGGTGAACTTAAAATTGCATAATTGGTATATTATGCCTGAGAATTTTTCTTGTAAGCAAATTCTGTAAGAAAACTCTCAGGTACTATATTGGTAGAGCTCTCTGAAACTTTAGCATTAAATCCAGCATTACACTAGTGTGTAATTTGGCTAATACAAACAGGACATTCTCCATTTGTCTTCCTTTTTACAGCACCTTATACCATGAAAAATCTGCTCTGAAAGGTACATTCAGAACAGATCAACCTTAAAAGCTTGCAGTTCATATGTTCTACCATAAAATCCTTAATAAGTAACATTTTTTTAAAAAAAATGAAAACACTTTTTTCTCAACAAAATCCTTGTGAACTATAAAACAGAACAATATCAATAATAATATTAATAATAAAAGAAAATATTGTCAATATTTACATCAACCAGAAGATCTGGATCTATGCTGAACTGCCGTCCTGAAAGCATAGCCTGGAAATCCTCTAAACTGCAATCAATGCTCTCAAGATAATCCAAGAGTTCCACCCTAAAACAATGCAAGAAAATTCCCATGAAATTCTGAGTTTTTTAAAGCAATATGTTATGCAACAGAATCAAATGTGTACAATTTTAAGCTTCTCAGCTCAGGTAACAATATTAGGTCTCTTTTCCAACCAATGCTGAAAAACCTGGAAATATTTTACAGCCCCATACCATCCATTTCCTCCCCAGCTGATACAAAAATACACAGAATAGGATAATAAATACAATCATACAAAGCTAAAAACAGCCGCTACTGGAAATTCAATAGGCAAAGCATAACTCTATACATGTACAAATAATCAATGGTGTTTGTACATGGCACTGATGCCACTGAACATGAATATATTAAATGAAAGTAGGGGACGGTAGGACTTTTAAAGCTAAAGGAAGTGACTCACTTTCCAAGAAGATTGATATTTTGTGAAATCACTCCATTCTCATTGAGTATAGAGTCCATCATTGTGACTGGGTCTTCTGCTGTTAAGGCTGATTGACTGTTTAACTGAACAGCACTGGACATTAAGGGGTTTGTACCATCTGTGGAAGGACTGACAGTATCAGTGGATGGAATAGTGATTGGTTCAGCATTTCCATTTTCTTGGATTATAGGAGCATAATCATCCTCATTGTCATCTTCTACTATTACAATATCAGGGCTATAGCTGCAACATAAACAGAAGCACAGTACTGTTAAGAACCAATGGCCACCTTTCCTTTGCAGCTTAATTGTAAGCAAACATTATGAGCTAGACACTGCTATTATTTTGCAATATCCCTTTTCTGAATGGCAGACATTAAAAATATCACTAAGCTTCTTTTTGGGGTTAGTACTGAAGATGAAACTACAGACTTTTATTACCCCTAGCATTTATAAACTACATTTTAAATATTCACAATATATATAACCTTAGTAATATTCACAATATCTCAGGAGGACAAACCTATTAATGACAGTATGAATGCTAGTCTGAATCCAGTATGGCATTGGTGCTGCTGTGCCATGGAATTTCTCCCCCACCCCCCCAGCTCTGAGAGAAGGGGGAATCTCAGTTCGGGAAGAGGAGTTTCTGGGGTGTGTGGATTACAAAGGATCAACCCTCTGATTCTGCTATTCTGCCAATGGAACTTAAGCACTAGATACTGCACAGTGATTTGTAATTTGTTGGTCTCAAGTCTGACAGAAATGCTGAGGAAAAAATCCTCCAACTCACACTAAACACTATTATACTAGCTAATCACTGTGTTTGTAATAAACTATTTACAGATGTAAATATTCAACAGACATTCAAACTGTAGACAATAAACCCAAACATAGGCCTTCCCAATTATATACCTAAACTAAAGAGGCTTCTTACTTTGAGTCTGAAGAAATGTCCTCACTGGTTTCTGGAGTAACTGGAGCCTTTTCTTCATCACCATCATCAGTAATATCATAAATAATAATATCATCTGAAAGCTGTTCCCTCTGCTTTAAGCCATCATTCCTATTGTGTGGTACCTGCCCATTTACATGTTGCAAAAATGAGGGAATAAAAGGAAAGAAAATACAGTAGTTTCATAATAAAATACATTTTAAAAAGTCAATAATCCTTCCTCAGAACAGGACAGCAACTGCACTGCAACAAATATAGCAAGTTCCTGTAATTAAATATGTGGAGTGCTTCCAGACATTCCAGGTTTTCTCTCCACTTGGGAGTTTTGCTGGAGAAAGAGTCCAATCCCAGCTACATTCAATTTTTAAAAATTTCTATATTCTTTTTTGTGGGCTAGTCCCACTTCAATCCCACAAAGCTTTTTCAACAACAAAAAATCATTGTGACCTATTACTCATTCAGACAGTGAGATTTTTTTAACTTGTGGTGTCTCTTCCTTTCTCATTTCTTTCTAGCCGCTCCATGAAACTCCCCTTCTTAGCTAGTTTCCTCCTCCCTCTACCAGTTGTTCCACTTCCACTCCCATCCAGTGTGGTCTTTTGGGACTATTATACTGTACTTCTATAGAATCTAATGGGCTGAGAGATTGCACCTTCCCAAAGGATCTAAGTTTCCAGGAAGCACCAGGGTAGTTTCCCTTTTTGTACCATTAAGAAAAGGAAGCACAAGCCTCATGAAATCTCCAAAATAGGCCCTATTCCAGCTGAGTGAAATGTAGATGTGCACAGGTGTCTGTAGGTGTGTCTGTGGACTGGAACTCCCAGAATTCTGTTAGAAATTCTTGGAGAATTTGGGGATTGGCATCCACAAGATCCAAGTGGCCTGCCCCATTAGGGACTAGAAGGAATTAAGCACCCCTGATCAGATGCAAAACTTCATCCTAGTCTGTTGTCTAAAAGTGTCCTAATGAAAACCTACAGGATTAAAAAAACCTTATGTAACCCTAGAATTTGGGATGGATACAAAAATTACAGAAATTGATACAAACATACAATAATGGGCCTCATCTTATTGCCTTTGAACTATGGTTCACCTTGTATGTTTGGAAATGCTGTCCTTCAGTTTGTAATTTAAACTATGGTTGGTTATCATTAGAGATGGGGGTATTCATATACGAATATCCCCGCACAGGTGGAAATAACGAAGGTCTGGCCCCATGGGGCCGGACTATCCACTCACAATTTTGCCGTTGCTGCCAGTTCTGCAGAGGCTTCCTATCACACCGTTCTCTGCAATGGATTAGCCACTCCATGATCTGGCAAAGAGGCTCATCATCCTGCCTGCCTCCTGCCAGGAGTGGGTAATCGACAGCAGACAACAGCGGGATAGGAAGCCTCCGTGGAGCTGGCAGGAGTGGCGAAATCTTGAGTGGACAGTCCGGCCCCACGGGGCCAAACCCTTGTTATTTCCACCTATGCGGGGATATTCATATTCGTATACAAATATCCCCATCTCTAGTTGTCATCTATGGCTTGGTATTGCTTCAAACTAAAGCAGTACATTTCATTACAGAGAGTTAACAGATTCAAGTGTAGAGTTATTTAGTGAAGAGGAATTCAAGTAATGTGCACAAAAAGTAACCTGCCTGCTAAAGCGTTACCAAAAAGCTGACACCATATGCAACTCTATACAGTGGTGCCTCGCATTACGATGTTAATTTGTTCCAGCGAAATCGCTGTAGAACGAAAACATCGTAAAGTGAAATTAAAAAGCCCATAGAAACGCATTAAAACCTGTTGCATGCGTTCCGATGGGCTTAAAACTCACCGTCCAGCGAAGATCCTCCATAGGGTGGCCATTTTCGCTGCCTGTCTTGCGAGGAATCCGTCCCTAAACACAGCGGGGAGCCATTTTATTTACCCAGTGGCCATTTTGAAACCGCCGATCAGCTGTTGGGAAATCATCGTTTTGCGAAGAATCGGTTCCCGAAGCGGGGAACCGATCATCGCAAAGCGAAATTCCCCCATAGGAAACATCATTTTGTGATTGCAAAAGCGATCGGAAAAAGTTCATCGTAATGCGATTTGGAGGCACCACTGTATATGGATTTGCTCAATATCACAGAAACCTATGTTTAAAACAGTACTTTTAATTACCTTCCGAGCACTTTGCACATACCATTACAAACAAACCTTCTAATTTTAAGCTATTTCATTTCCTCTCCAATCCATTTTTCACAGTTTACACAAGCATATTTTCAAGATTAACTTACATGTTTGTTTTCTGGTGGTTCTTTGACTATCTGCTGGAATACACTGGCTTTTGTAGCTCCATTAGTATTCAAAAGCAGGGGACTATATAAAAGATTTAAAAAGTTTTGAAAATATAAAGATTCGAATTAAGTTCTTAGATGTCATATTTTTATTAAATAAAACTGTATTACATACCCCAAATTCTCAACACTATACTTACCGTTTACGTTTCAAACTCACTAGCTGATTATTCTGAACAAGGGTAACAATGAAATGTACAATCTGGGGGGAAAAACAGAATACTGTCTTAGGCTGAAAACATACATAAACACAGATTAAAGTATATCCAAATGAATTCATTAATGATGATTTACTCCTCACTGGGAATCTATAAGAGTACATTTAATGTTTATTATACATGAAATCAAAATATGGTATTTTGTTCTAGGGAAATTAACTGTTAACATATTTTCATAAATCTTCACCAAGTCACAGAATATCATATGAAGTGAAATACTTGATAAAATCCTGTGGCTTATTATTGTAAACCTCAGTAGACTCACTGAACCAATGGGGATTTGGTAAATCAACTCTGTAGGTTACACTGATTTAAATGGGCCTACTCTAGTTTCAACTTACTTTAGGAACTAGAGTAGGGCAGCTCAGCTACCTGAGAAGAGTGTACCAAGTCAGTCATCGAAGTTCATGGAAAGATTTGGCAAACATTTAAACCAGAGGCAACAATGTAGCCTGCTCAATTTAAAAGATGTTAACACTTAGCAGTGAGGAACATGGTTCCTCCTCCTTCAGCAGATAGCTGTCAGTATGATAACCGTGACTGGTTATTAACTTTCTGCTTGTGGTTTTTTAGATTTTCATTTTGGTATGATCAAAGTATCTCAGAACTCATGGTATTTAAAGCCCATTTTAAACGTTGACCAATAAGACCCACTTGCCAGAAAGAAAGGAAGGAAGGAAAGGAAATAAATTACAGTGGTGCCTCGCTTAACGAGCGCACCGTTTAATGACGAATCTGCATAGCGATGAGGTTTTTGCGATCACAAAAGTGATCGCATAACAATGTTTTCAATGGGTAAACATTGCGTTGCGATGCTCAGTAAACGTTTCGCTTACCGATTATCGCATAACGATGTTTTAAAAACAGCTGATTGGCGGTTCCAAAACGGCCGCCGGAAAAAATGGCCGCCCGCAGCGTTTTTGCGCCCTTTCCTTGCTTACCGGGCAGCAAAAATGGTGGCCGGATGGAGGATTTCCGCATAGCAGTGAGTTTTTCCCCCATAGGGACACATTAAACGTGTTTTAATGCGTTCCTATGGGTTTTTCCCCACACACAGCAACAAATCCGGATAGCGATGATTTTTTTCAGCACGGATTATCATCGCTTTGCGGGGCACCACAGTATTCTTAACATTCCCAAAGCTTTTGCTTTGGAACATCTGATAATAAAGATGAATGGGACTGACATGTGCTGAATGTCAAGCTGTATCTTTCTTTCTGTCAAGCAGTTCACCACCGCTAAATCCATCATCTAGAATACAGCAAAATATGACAGCTAAGGCAATGAGTCTGCCTCCCATCACTCATCTGATTGCCCCCCTCATTGGGCAATACTTCCCAGCCTCCTGTGGATGAGAAGTCCACTCCTGCACACAGGGCTCTATCTCTCTCTCTCCCCTCCTGAGTCACTCTCCTTTGCCACTCATGCCTCCCCTGTTATCCCCAGGGCTTTCTCAGGAGCCGGTGTCTCCTTTGCCTTTCAGTCTTCTCTTGGAGCTCTATCAGTTCCTCCCACTCATTAGTCCATGGGTTCAGCTCAGACATCCATTCCCATCCCTGAGGTAATGGACAATCTTCTTTCTTCAACCATCTCTGCTTTCACTTCACTTTTCTTTTCTTCTCCCTTGCCCCTCGCTCATTTCCCCTCTGCATTTGTTTTCCCCTTGTCTTTGCTCCATCCTTTTTCTGTTGTGTTCATATGTGTTTTTTCTGCCTTTTCAGTCAAGTACAGACTTCCCTCCCCTCTAGGGAGCCTCCCTTCTATGTCCCAATTTCACTATGGGATTTGTAGTGCAAAATCTCTCTGTTCTCACAGGAAGAGAGGATGGCACTTGGAAAGAAGCTATGTCCTTCCAGTCCCACTTCTCACAGGAATCCTTAAGTGTTTAACCATTCCTTTCTTCTGGGATCACATAACTTGCGCAAGACTACAAAAGCTGGCTTTTCAGCTACAAGGTACAGTGGGGAACTGAACTCCCAACCCCGGTGCTTTCGCATTCTAAACTATCCAGCCAGCTAATCAATGCTTAGAGACGTACATGCAAATTCAAAATATATACTCAGTATATTAACAGTTCTGGAAGGTTTCTATTTTGGGGATGCTACATGTACAAATGCACTGTTTTGTCCACATCTATGAACAATTATGTCACATTGTGAATTCACAACAGCAAGTAAATTGAGGATCTAATACGTTCTATACAATACCATGCTACTGTGTCTGTAGTAAGACATTTGAACTTCATTGTCCCATATTCAAATGACCACTGAAAACCAAACTACCTTCCAGACTACATGTGCACTCAACCTGGTGTTGCTGCTACGCTGTTTAAGCTACCAGCTGCTGCAGAATGTTTTGTTCGTACTGCTGAAAATTCGACAGTGTTATTCTGCATTTGCTTCCTCTTGATTTTGTACAACACGTAATAGATTTTACTCATTTTTTAAAAAATTAATCACTTACAATAGCAGTTATGTAATTACCTTTCGGATAACTTGCTGTTGGTGTAGATGCTTTGCTCTCAGCTCTGCTACTTCCCGCCAAAGTGATTCATTTTCTCTGTTTCAAAATGTTTATAGTAAGTAATACAATAAAACACTTTGAATTGTTTTCCTTAAAGTGACTTTAATAACCAACTAATAAGCAGACCAACAGTTTAAGAACTAAAATAATATAATTTGAAATTTCAAAATTTTAGACACAAAAGTACCACACCTTCTCCCTGAAACCAAATTACACCACACAGACGCTCATCACATTTACCTCTTCAGAGCAGACAGCCTGGATTCAATAGTCTCTTGTTTAATTTGCACCTTCTGAGCACTACTTATGATTTTAGACAGGTCTTCCTGGCGTATTTTATTTTCTTCAGGCCTTGAAGATGAAACCTATAAAAATTAACACCCCAAATACAAGGTTTCAAACAGAAATAATGTATTACTTACTTCTCTGAAATTATGAAGTTACTCTTGCTATTATGTGCTGTCAAGCTGAAATTGACATAGTGACCTTGACAGGACTTTCAAGGTAAGTATGGCATTTAAGGAGTGGTTTTGCCAGTTCAATCCCCCCAAACAGTTTCCGTGGCCAAGTGGGGAATCAAAACATGTACTTCAGAGTCCTAGTATGTCACTCTATCCATTACACCACACTGGGTACACATATGAAGTTACCAAACTACAGTAACTGCTTCACTATCATAAAAAAGTTGTACGCCAATAGTATATCTACAGTATATCAATCAATTTTTAAAGAAATAGACTATAAACTCTGGATACCAACAGAAAGATAATCTGCTTTTGAAATTAAATGCTGAGATATACATAAAAAGTGAATTTCTTCAAGACAGAGAGAGGCTAAACATCTCTAACCTTTCTTTTAATATGTTCCAGTAGGTCTTCCCGTCCTTGTTTGAAGTAGGGGTGCTGGAACTCAACAGGACCATCCCTTTCCAATTTCACAATGCCTGAATCAACATGGACTACCTTACGGAAGCCATCTGGAAAACAAATGACAACTCAATTATGCAAATGTCTACTTGAATATTCAAGGATAAAAGACAATTCAGTAAAATTTTCTCAAGTTGTCATCTAGAGTACAAATAGCAGTTCCACTAATTCTCACTGCTCTGCCTCATTCTTCTAAATATTCCCTTCATTTGTGCACGTGTACGTTGAGTGCGTCAGGTGCATGGCAAACTTATGCAGTGGTGCCATTTTATTTTATAACTGTCCCGGTACTGCCTTTTTCCCTATAGCAGGGAAATGAGGCAGTCATATATTCAGCATTTGCAGTGCTGCCATTTGATATGAAGAACTGCTGTGAAATCAAGTTCAGTTCACCATTTCTTCTAGGTTAAAGAAAGTTGCTTTAAAATCTGGAAAGTCTTTCCAGCATTGAAATGTATCTACTATGTTTCCTGACTTGACTATACCACTTTGGGCTCTATACGGAATCTTGTACTGTACTTCCAAAAGAAGCATCCCCAAATTGGCTGGATTCCAAGTATTATTCCATCAGTGAATAACCTCCACAATGGAATGAAGAAGCATCATCTCCCCCACTTTTCTGGAGGACCCCAGACCTCAGGAGAAGATTTTCAGGGGGCACATGGCAAACCTCACTAATAGAAATGAGTCCTTGCATCTACTGGAGCCTCTTGCCTGACCACCCCCATATTAGGTTTGCATATTAGATGAACTGGCTGTGACTGTAAATTGAAATCTGTCCCTTCTAGACAATGCTAGCTATCAATGAGATACGCCGCCCCAACCATCATAACCTTTTCTATACTTAACATTCTAATAAGACAGGTTTTAGTCTTAGCTGTCAGACATGAATGAAGCTCATACAAAAAAACAGATATTCACACAGGCCTACAGCTACAAAAATTATTGCCTCATGGAATCTATTTCTCACCAATTGTTTTTCTCCCTATGGTTTTGGAAGATCTGTTGTAGCCTTCACTGAAAATAAACAGCACATGTATTATCTGCTTACCTCAGATGTCACTTTAGCCAGAGACTACATTTAGATGGTTTATAATACTACTCGCATCACTGGTTATAAGAAACAGAAATCAAAACTCATTTATGAACTAAGTCCCATTAAATACAGATAAAAGTACTGAATTCAATTGCAGTTATTGCTGTAAAACTCACACATATTTAGCTGTCTCACAAAGCTTGCCATGTTGTTGTGTTTGAAGTACTTTGGAAGAATCTCTTTGGCAAACCTTTGTTCATCCAACACAAGGAAACTCTGGCCATTCTGAAATTAAGATTACACAAAACACACTTAACACCTGAATAGTACAATTAGAAACAAAAAATAGTTCCATAATCTTAGCCAACTATTTATTTTATTCCATATAGATGATTGGGGATGTCCATTTGGGTTTTCTGGACTCCAACTCCCAGGATTCCACAAGAATGGCCTATTCGCCTTGCTTCCTGCTGGTAATATGTGAACCACTTTGTGGGAGTTCTAGTCTCAATGCCCTCAATAGAGGGTATCTCCCAAAGAGCTAGCATGTCTAGCATCCTCAGCAGCCTCCTTTTTTGGACATTACCAATGGGAAGCAAGGCTGGACTGGGTCTTACCACACTGAAGCAAGACCCTTCTCGGGTGAGCAAAATGTAGAAAAGTCTGTAGTTGTAGGTTTGTTAGCTGGAACTCCCAAAATTCTGTCTAGAGAATTCTTGGAGAACTGCAATTTGGAATCCAAAAGAAGAAAAAAGAAAGACACATGCCTAGACATCAGGTGAAGACAAACAAAATTCTAGTAGGTACCAGATATGTGGCATTAATTAGAAAGAACCCCTTTGAGGGAATTAAGCACAGTAGGACAATCATGCAAGTGGTTCTCCTCTCTTGCTGACTATCGTCACACACTGCAGGTGAAACAATGGCAAAACTGACGTTCTTAGGCTTTCAAGTGATGCTCCATCTACCCTATTCTCCCGACCTGGCTCCTTCTGACTATTATCTGTTCCCCAAACTCAAAAACACCTAAAGGGACAATGGTTTGGGAGTGTTCTGGAGGCAACTAATGCGGCAAATGAGTGGTTACACCAGCAGTTGGAAGAATTTTATTTGCAGGGACTTAAGAAGCTGCAGCACAGATGTCGCGAGTGCATTGGCTTCCTGAGGGGAATATGGAGAATAGTTTGGCAGTTACAGCTTCCTAGTTCAATTTTTTCTGGGAAAGGCTCAATACTTATCAGCACCCCCTCCTATGCCAATATTTACAAATGTGTATCATTAAAAATGTAAATACTACAAGAAAAGCAGTCACAGACAATTATAAAGAAGGTACTGAAAAAAACTGGTAGAAATTAGAGATGGGGGTATTCACATATGAATACCCTTGCACAGCTGGATGTAATGAGGATCCAGCCCCAGGGACTGGACTGCCTCTAGCTCCACTGTCCCTTCCAATTGCTCCGGAGCTCATGGTTGGCTATCCACTCCTAGAATGAAGACGAGCCTGCAAGGCTGATGAGTGGATAGCCGACCATGAGCTCTGGAGTGATTAGAAGGGACAGCAGAGCTGGTGGAGGTGGCTGCATGAGTAGACGGGCAAGCCCCAGGGGGCCAGCCCCTTGTTACATCCAGCTGTGTGGGTGTATTTGTATACCAATACCCCAATCTCTAGTAGAAATTATTGCCAACTTCATAAAGGATCTGAGGTAGACACATGCCAATCATGCTAGCCTTTTTCATGGCTAAACTTTAAATAAATTTTACTAGTATCTTCCTAAGAACTAAGAAAAATAGAATCTTCTTTACTTTTAACTTAGAGTATTCTATGAACAGAATTAACCACAGACTATATACTTGGCCAGAACTGAACCACTAACAAGTCACCTATATCTTTATTGCTTGCTTCTTCAATTACAAAAGCCACATTCACATCTGCTTCTCTGCAGTGCTATAAAAATCTGTGCAGCAGCTTCAGAAAGGGTGGCACCCTTCTGATGAATCACAAAGAATGCGAACTATACAAGGACTAGGAAGATCTACTTTCACTTCAGAAGTTACTGTTTCCTTCTTCCTTGATGCCTGTAACTAGTTGAAGTGAAATTGTTAAGGCTTTTTCTGATGGATCTGAAGCAAAAGTTGCAGGTGTTCCTAGGACATAGTGAAGAAACCAGTAACTTTATCATGATTTGTGGTATCAGCCAGGCTACAAAGTAAAAAGAGAAACAAGTTGCTCATTGGAGTATGGGAGATGTGTCAATTTTAAGACAAAAAAACTGCCCTGCAAATACAATCCATGTTTAACTAAAACATCTAGCAAATTTGCAATGTAGACAACATACACCTATACCCCAAAGGTGGCAAATGAAGACAGAATGGAGAGAACTAGACTCCCTCCTTCCAGGACTCTATTCCTTGCTGAGCAGAAAGTGCAAATATCCTACTATAGTTTTGCTAGTCCATCAGTCTCCATGGGGATGGGCATTTCTGCTCTGCCTGGTATAAGCTTTGGAACAATGCCAAGGGAATTATTTCTTTGGGGTCACTCTGGCCACATGCACAGAGACTGTGGGGGGTGTCTGTGTTTTTCAGTCTCTTTTTAAAGGCAGGGAGTAGGTATTTTATTGAGAACCAAATAGGTGCTAAACTGAACCTCATCTCAGTTCAGACGTCAATTTCTGCAAAATTCTTGCTGATTTATTTGGAGGAACAACAGATGCTTAAACAGCTGAACTGCTACTTGTAGTCTGTCTATATTGCTGTTAGTTTGAATTGAGAAGCACTTAGCAGTTATTACTTCTATGATTTATATCTTGTGTGTTTTCACTCTGTTCCTTTTATTAGAATTTGGAAAATCAGCTAAATGTCTGCAGAGAATGTTGGGATATGATGGGTGGTGATGTTATCAGGACTGCTTAGAGTACAGAGAGGTGACATGGGGGCAATATGGCAAGTGAGAGAAGAAACATTAAAAACTTTATGCCCACTCTTTTGCCTATTTGTTCAATGTAGGAAATACTGATTGACTGACTGATATGGTTCAGAGAACAGTTATTAGTTTCAGCGAGAAAAGAGAAAATGGGTGTCTCTCAGGAAGCAGCTCCAGGAAGGAGAGGAAATATGAGACAGGAAGCATAGAAGCAAAACATCTGAAGGGAGGATGCAATATAACCTAAGTACTAATAAACCAGGCTGGAAAACCAAATAAAGGACTTTGAAGAAATAGACCATAAACTATTTTACAACAGATATAACTGGTATGAAAGGAAGAAAAACTTCTGCAGGACTAGCTAAAGCAAACCAAATGGACTGGTAAGGAGGTACATGAAGAAACAATGGATGATGGAAGCAACAGAGTGCCTAATGCAGAGGTGGGGAATATGTAGCCCTAATTATACAATTAAGACTCAATCATGTGAAGTCAAAAAATTCCAAAAATGGAAATGTTTCTAGCGTTTAATTTTTCCATGAAAGATTTTCCATTTATAAAATAATTAATAAAATCTATTAGTAACAATAGCCAGTACTCTTTTTTGTAGCTCTGCTGGCATAAAGATGGTGATGTCACTGGCAGACAGCTGCTAATTAAAGAGTTCTGATTTTGGTTTAAGATTGTGCACAATTCACATACAATGAGACAAAAACTGCCTGCAACCCTAAATCAAAGCAGGAACTCTTCAGTTAATGGTAATCTGCCACTGCCAGTAATGTCACTACTGTTGTACTGACAAATGAATAGATACAAATGAATATGTATTTATACCATATTAGACAAGCATAATTTTGAAGCTTTGTGAGCAGCGAAGTTGGTGTTACATAGCAAAAGAAGAATTAAATCAGAAGCCAAATTATTCATGCTATACCTGCTATGAGACTAATTTTTTTAAGGTTTGACTGATGTGTAAACAGGGAGATTAAAATACATACAAACACACAATCCAGGGTGAAACTGATTTAAATTACAGTTTAATTTTTCCAAAATATATTTTGATGATTTAAATTAATCTCTAAGGCAATCCAACATAATATAAAGTTATGAATTCACATTTGGCAGTAGAGATCAAACAACTGGCTTTCCAATTAAGACTCCCATTTCTTTTAGAGTTGGAGAGCAAGGATACAGACCTTCTAAGGAACACCACCAGGGAGGTAAAGTTAAGAGACAGAGAGAATGAGTGAGAGAGACTGTCTAATGCAGAGGTCGTCAACCCCCCGGTCTGTGGCCTGAGCTGGACCGGGCCGCGCAGACCTCCCGCCCCACCCGCACGCACTCCCTTCCCTGCAGCTGCTTTGTGCATGTGCACACATGACAGCGCCAGTGTGAGCACTCCCCCACCCCTTCACACATGTGCCCAAGTGAAGGGGTGGGGGAGCGCTCACACAGGCGCTGGCGGGCGCTCCCCCACCGCTTCACGCATGCAGGGGGCCCCGCCTGCCTCGGAGGCTCAACCGGTCTGCAGTCCCGAAAAGGTTGGGGACCGCTGGTCTAATGATCAGATACTAAGCTTCGTCTGATTAAATATTTATTTATTTAATTTAATTTATATGCCGCCCACACTACCCAAAGGTCTCTGGGTGGATATTTGAATCAGAAACCCCAAGTTCTAGGTCTACTCTCACTGACTGCGATTTCTGATTCAGTACTAGCAGGCTGGACTAGGATTCAGCAAACTTGGGTTTAAAACTCTACCCAGCTATGAAAAGTCACTTGGGGGTGGTGGTAATGCATTGGTACTCCATGCCTTAAATATTTCATAGTTTTTTACAAGCATGAAGTGTACATAAAACCAACCCCAAAACAACAGATGTTAACATTTATTTAATCAATGGAAGTCAAATATGCATGCTTCTTCAGATTATGTTCTTAAGGTTTGTTCTTCTACCTACGGAATGCTTCTCTCTAAGATCAAGTTAGTGCCACTTACACCTCTCAGGCATCGATGCTGTAGGTGGCCACCCCAATAGAGGTCAGGAAGTTTACAATTTTGAACCAGGCCTTCTCTGTGGTGACCACCGCTTTATGGAATACTCTACTTGTGGAGGTTCAACAGGCCCATTCCCTCCTAGTATTTAGGAAGCACATAAAAACTTTGCATTTTTGGGATGTCCTCCCTCATAATTGTTGGCCAGTTAGTCTTATTTTGACTATTATATTCTGTAATCTTTATCTTGTCCATTTCCACCATCTCGATTTTTAGTCCTGTTGTACTTTTGTATTATATTTCTTTATTTTATATTTCTGGAATTTAGCTGTTTTCTTTATCTTATTTTATTGCTGGAAACTGCCC